TTTATTGAAACTGGCGCGCGTACAATTTTTTTCCCGAAGGGCACCCGCGAAGGTGGGAAGTAACCTTAAACCGAACGCCCAAGATGAACCTCCGGGAAAAACTTCCGGTTCATTCAGAATCAAAACTATAACAGTGGCTGGTAGTAGCTTTAAGTGTGGCAAGGGTTTACTAAGTGTCATCTCTATACAATTAACCACACCTACTCGTATGTATGCTAAACTTGTTTGGTAAACTTGTTTTTCTTGTTTGTTCTTGTTCGTGCAAACCATTCTTGGGAAAAGCGATATCATATATCTTAGTTAATTAATATTTAAAAGATGGTTATGCATTTCTTGTGAGTTTTTGGTTTCTCTTCCTATATTTCCCATTTTTTTAAAACCTAAATTCAGTGTTGTTTCCTAAAGAGATTTGCAGTTTGTTGAAGGTCAGTCTGCTTACCATATAAGACCGACAATGAATCGAACGGAAATACAAATTTTTAAGTCGCACAATATTTACGTACCGGAAAAATTTTGGTGCAATGAGTGAATAGCGTACCCGGCAAAATGTACACAACGAATATGGTGCGAAAAGTTTGACAACATCACAAAGTAATGTCCAACACATAAAGAAACGCTGTTAACGGAATATTGACTCCGAAGAATTTGACCCATAACCAGCGTGGTTGAAGTTACCGCGCTGAGCCAGTCACAGACATAAGGCAAATCATGTTGAAGGCAAAATTTTGTACTCGTATATGAAATTCATGTAATTTTTTCTCATGCTTCCGCAATAGTATCTTTTATATGCTATATCAGTGTCGGGTTGTGTTGTTTTCAGAGGGATACATACTCGATTCGAAACGGTTGAATGGATATTTCTACCGTTTCAAACGAAATCAAGCTAATATTAAATTCAAAATACAAACCCATGTCAGACATCCTGTATAAACATCCACTCACCATGTATTTCTTCTTCCACACTTAAATTACAACGAACGTTTTCTGCGGCAGCCATCAGTATTTCGTCGACAATTCACCGATCAAAAAGTCTTTAACTTTTCCTTTTAACCTTTACGAACGCGTAGATCGCCATGTTACGCGGAACGCAAGCAACTGCCAGCCTTAAAGACTTTGTCACGGACGTCTGCGTACAACGCGACTTCCCTTTCCGTCTATTTATGACTGCGTTACTCACATTTTATGAATAAATTGAGCTGAATCTTTATCTCAGCTGTCCTTGTTGTTGCTAGACTACGAGTAGTAGGTTTTTGTTCCTGAAATCCTCCGCGCGCAGAACTCAGTTGATTTTATGCAAATTGGGGAAAGAGACGAGGAGGGAATGGGGAGGCTTCGCCGCTCGCCGCTTGCTGCTCGATCGCAAGGAAAACGCTAGGAAAAGAAAGAGACTGCTCGCAGTCTATTTTGTTGCCAGCTATGGAGTCAAAACATAACTGGTGAGACAATCTCAGATAGTGCGGCGTGCAATTTACGGCTCTGATACAGTAGTCACATAGGTCCTCACCCATGCCGTTCTCTCCCTTGGAAGTTACTAGGTCTTCCCCTTGCAGAATACGAGCGGACAAAAACTTGATAAGACCTAATCTTAGCATTGTGTATCTTTCATGTTTGTATTTTCTTTCAAGGCCCAAAAATAACTTACAATTACCGTTTGTCAAGGCGGCTTTGAGGTGTTTTACGCTGAGTGTCAGTCATTTTAAATTCAAAAATACGCAGAAGTGGCAAACATGACAATTTTACTTTCCACACCAACGTATGTAACTTGATACTTTGGTTTTGCTCGCCAAGCTATGCAACATGATACGCTTCTTTCGTCGAAAATATAAGAAAGATGTGTATTTGTTACTTACTGCTGGAGATAAATGGAATATAGCTAAATATCTGATGAAAAATTTGCTTGCCCTGCCGGCTTTTCTTCCTTCTGTGATTTCTTCTGTTTTTTACCCAAAATAAGGGGGGGCCGGCCCCTCCGGGCACCTCCTCTAGATCCGCCACTGAGATCGTTACTTGGTCGAAATTATATCCTACATCGGTGAGAGAGTCATCTCAAAGACCGATGAAATTAATTGGCGGTTTCATTAAGTGCCACGGAGTCTGCGGCAATAAT